GACCCCAAGATCTTGGACACGATGTCATTAAAACTTATTTCCTGCTGGTTTTCACAAGTTTCCTCACACTTCGTATAGACTGGAATGATGAGTGAAGTATACCAGTTGGATAGGACTTCCTTTAAACACCATAGTCTACCTAGTACCTCTGATCATAATTTCCTACTTCCACCCTTAAAATTCTCTGGTAAAAAATTCTAGGTCCTCCAGCTTCAAGTTGTTCAAGGGCTGGAACAGCCTTTTTAACTTTCAGGGAGGCTGGTGGACAGACACCAACATGCCATTTGCGCTCGGGAAGGGTACTGGGCAACCGAAGCAACGCTGTGGACAAGCTGAACTGTGGACCATAGTGTTTCATAGAACGTTCTAGCCGCTCGACATGATAGGCCCTCAAGCACTCAGTGCTTCCAACGATGGTCTTGCAGAATATTATCTTCTTCTCGCCAATATCCCTTATAAACCTGATCAATTGTCAAGTACTACCTAATTCTGATGCTTTCTCCGTCTCTCGCTCTCTAACTACCCTCCACTGCTCGCGGTCATCACGAGGGCTCTAAGTGAATTCACTTTTGAGCATGTTATTGCTTCTCAGTGTGGTCAGATATAAGACAGCTGAAATGAGTCTACTCACATCAACCGGTTCGGATGAGTTTGTGGAAATCAGCTGGCTTTGGCTAATCACCGTGTGCAGGCTAACAACTGTCTGTACCACTGTTTCTACTCCCAACGTAGTACTGCATAAGACCTGATTAAGATGTGAATTGCTGTCATGTTCAAATAAATGCAGGCAGACACGAGCCCTTACTAGGGCGTGATTGGGGTTCCAACTCGTAATTCAGAAACAGCGGCAATCCCCTACTGATCACCGCCAAGGATGCCTTATATATATATTAATCTATCTGTGTTCATCGTTGATTTGATGTCAGCGGGGGCCATGGAAGGCTGTGTCTCTGCTTATGCCTGAAATTAGTGCTAGCCAGAAGCAAGTGATTTTCAGAACAAGTTGAAAAAGACAATCACTGTTGGGGGCTCGCTGATACGGGAATGCGTAGATATCTCCAAAATACTGTCTCAGATTTCTTACTTGAGTGTTGAAGTCACCATTTATTACGAATGTATCTCAGTGTTTTGCTTTATGTGGTACAGCTGACAGCTTCAGATTGAAGCCATATTTATATCATCCGAACTATGATTCAAATGGGAAGGTTCTTTATAGACACTAGTCTCCAAACTTCCATCTTGTTTTGTCTAATCATGCAATCCAACATCGTTAGCCCACCTTCATCACTTTCTAGGTCAGAAGTAAATCGGATTGCGTTCAGTACTGAATTTATATGTTCCAAGAACCTACTGATCTGTTCCGATTTCGGTACTGTAAATGTGTCATCTACATATAGGAATTGTCTTCGGAGTAGGACTAAATGTGTGAAGAGCATCTGTTTCCAAATATACATAAATACGTCTGCTACGATAGGGGATATTGGTGTTCCCCCGGCAATCCCATAAGTTTGTTTATATATTTTGTTTTGAAATTATTAGTTTTCGGCATTACAGTAAACCGTTTTGACTCATCTAAAAGTGGCTACATTCAGCGTATCAGATTCCCTGTGAATTTTCCAACTTTAATCATAATAGTATCTACTGGTTGCTTAATTTCCTCATATACTCCAGTTTCTATATGCTCATTCACCTTGCAGATGTAGTCAGATTTGGTCATTACAACTACTGAGTTGCCTTTATCCGATTTGACAATTAATATACTATTATTATTTTGAAGGTTCTTAAGAGGTACGCTTTCTGGTTTGGGTAAATTAGATTTCACTTTGTTCTTTTGCTTCAATTGCATTTGTCGTATCTGTTTAACTTCAAGCTATTTCTACTTTGAGAATGACATCTGGTTTTAATTCACAAACAGCTACATTGAAGTTATAGCGTTTCTCCAGCACTTTTACTTCTGTTGGACTCGGGAATCTAGTTGCGAAGTGGACAACTCACTTTGACTTATTTATTAGTGATGTACTATTGGTAATTTGATTATTGTCAACTGCAAACGTTTCTTCAAAAGTTTGTTAGACTTCTTCATTTGAGTAATTTTCGATTTCGTCAAAGCAGCTGATCTTTCTTTATTGCAAATGTCTATCAGAAGTTTATAGTCTTTTTCACTGACTAGTATAGTTCACTAATATTATATCGGTGGGAACAACATCACTCACTGGGAAGCAAGTATATCTACCTAACGAGTTCCAAATAGGACGAAATGCGCATCCTGGATTCCACTGCTAGCCACAATCCATCATCAATTTTTCACTAACTGTTCATATCAGCTTACATTTACGTTCTTCAATATAATTCCTGACAATGAAACTTTTTGACTATCTGTGAATTTCTTCTTCAAGACTGAGTTTACTGACCCGTTCTATAGCTCCTTTAACTTTGTCTTATGGAATTGGAGCACGTAGGTGTAGATATTTACAGACGATTTGATTTCTAAGACAGTGTATATTGAATATATGATGGTTTCTGTATCTGCCTTCTGTCTGTGTAAGTCACGTCCGTTAGTTGGTTAGTCTTCAGACAGAAAACCATAGTTTTAACAATGTAAGAGTGAAATTTGGATACTGCGGGGTTAAAGTGGCATTTAAACTAATAAAATCACTCAGAAACAAGCTTTGTAGGTTAAAATATCCTATTGATGCAATTAAGCGAAATAAATTGGTACATCATATCCCTTACAATGATTGACCAAAACAGTTCGCAGGCGTCAATGAAAACAACACAGCACAAAACCTTGGCTATATTAAGATCAGAGGATCCTACTCAGATAAAAAATTAGAAAAAATATTCACAATGGTTATTGATGCAATTACACACAATCACACAATAGGGTGGGATAGAGTGACAGTACTAAAAATTAACATAGCTGGGTGGAGGGAGAGATTGATAACCGAATCTTTAAATTTCGAGGTTTGTGGATATTCACGAATTTCAGTTTAGTATTCATCACGAATTGACAAAAAGCTGAGGGACATTGGTAACCTGAGAGCCCTGGCCACCAGCGTTGGGGTCATGGGTGTTTACACTATTTCTCCAACTAATGTCTAACCATAATGAATACCAACTTGAAACCAAATCTTCATTTATCGAAGCAACACCAAATATATGTAGTAGAAATGATTCTTAAACTGTCTTAAATATATATATATATAATTCTGCTAACCTCCCAAGGAAGGATCATGCGAAAAACTGCGAGAACGGAGACCAGCATACGCTGGCTGGATTGATTAAAAGATCCTAGAAGATTTCGATTTCACCGTCGATGATGATTTATGTCAAATGTCTTGTCGTATAAGCTTGAACAGGTAGAGGCAAAATCTAACAAGTTGGCAAAAGAGGCAAGACAACGAAGATGGGACTGCCTTCGGTAGGTGAACATAGAAAAGACAGAGGTGATGAAGATACCCAACCACCACCACCACCAACAACAACAACAACTACTACTACTACAAGCACCAATCACCATCAACGGGAGAAATCTGAAGGAAGTAATCTCTTTCCCCTACCTAGGCTAGGCAGCATCGTTTCAACTACAGGAGGCGGCGGTGACACAAATAAGGATGTCGAAGCCAGTGTCAGAAAGACAGCAAGACAGGCTTTCATTCACTAATCTGAAATCAATGTGGAGATCTACTGCACTCCACTGCACCCCACTCCACTCAGCATAAAGCATTAACAACATCCCGATTTTCAGTCATGTAAGTCAGTGCATTTACAACAAACTGCAGACATACATGACCAGCTGCCGCTTACACTCGCTCACTCGATACTGAGGATGGAGATCAGATGGATGGACAGAATAATAAGAATAAGTAAGAGGGAAGTGTGGCTGGCTGGCAACGAACCGGCCAACAACCTATCTCCCAACAAATATGTAGAAGAAAGCGGAGATGGACTGGATTGGATTGGATTGGATTGGATTGGAGATAAACTGAAAAGACCGTTTGGGGACGTCACACGTCATGCAAGGCCCCCGAGTGTAACCCAAATGGGAAACGACAAGTTGGGCGTCCGAAGCGAGGCTGACATGGAGATGGTGTGAGGAAGAAATGAAAGTTTGTGGGAAGTGGTATAGCCAGGTTCAAAAGACTGCAGAGAAGACAGTGCAATAATGATGTGCTACTGAAGTTCTACATTCTACTTGGAACCCAATGGACAAATAAACAATGATAAATAATATAAACTATGTCTCAAAGTTGCGGAGTTACATTATATGAATATGGACAGTAAACTAGTTCCGAAGTATTAACCAATAAATGATACCGTTGCAGTGTTTGACATTTGCAAAAAAAAAAAGAAGCTCTTTTCCTTTTTTATTAAAATCGGAAGTTACTTTCTTGAGTCTAGATGTTAGCTCACCCTCCTTCTTCACAAGTGAAACCTGTGAGATTTGTAACAGATTTCTGAAAAGCACAGAATGTTTTCTATCCGTATTTTTTAGATATTCTGATCCAGTGCTATCAGTGTCAAATTTATTCATTACAAAACCATCCGAAAAGATATAAAAGCTAAGACTAAATATGATGGATGAGACAGAAGGAAAACATCCACTCACTTCCAAATAAACACCAAGTTTTTCCAAACGATCATAAACGAGAAAACACAAGAAACAAGATAGTACACATCAATAAGAAATGGAGGTAAATACCAACAAAAGAAGACTGGGAATAAAGCGATTGTGGAAAGTATAACATGGATAATATCTGAGTGAACGACACTTTTTGGATGTTTATAAGCAAGCTCTAGTTGAAAAGGTGTCTGTAGAATATGATTGTAATGTAAATACTCTCCATCATTTTTCACCTTATCGCGACACCTTGTCTCCAGGGTAAAATTTCACTCCTTCACGTTTAAAGCTAGATATACACACAAAACAGAGCTCGGAAAATTCGACACAACATAGCAACGGGAAATTGCAATTATCAATGAACAACTGATTAGCTTACTTTCTCACTTGTTGTACTGTATGCTGAATCTTCAGTTTTCTGCGTAACAATAATTGTAAAAACAGCATGTGATCTGCTGCTTGTTTCATTCATGTTAGTCGCTGCAACAGTCTGTATGTGAAAATAAACAATACGACAGTTAAGTGAACTAATTTATGGTAGCCTAGTGAATAGGGTTACATATTAAAATGGTTGTACTCCCGTGACCAATCAATACATGTACGCCAGCCCTACAGGAGGTCAGTCGCGGCCCGAATAGCTCAGTGGTAATGTCGCTGACTACAACGCTGGGTGACGCGGGTTCGAATCTCAGGTGGGACATCAGTCCCTTCGAGGTTGCAGATACGCCTTGCTGACGAGCGCCAAAAAGCACGAAACCTAGGTCCAGGGCTTCTGCTGATTGCCTCCAACCAACTAACAAAATGGTTGTTCACATTTGAATACTATTTGTACTTATCTAAGCGATGAATAGATGAGAGCACTTCTTACCAAAGTTTTGTTAGCAGGTTTATCATATTCAATAACAACCCGATTCAGAGGACATTGAAGCTAAACTTTCTACCATCAGCATCATCTACTTTATGTGTGTCCCTCATTTAAACATTAATTTCCCGTTATAAAAACTATTATTATCTATTCATTGAAAGGATTTTTAACAAGCTAAACTACAAACACATGTAACTACTTCTTATTTATAAATGTTCTACAATTTATAATTTTTTTCTCCATTCCAGAATACAATAGATACACAGATCTATACTTTCGGTGATTAATCACTGGAGAACAGCCAAGTACATGTTGTGTTTAGTCCGGAGTGCTGATAAAATTCCATCGATCCATTCCCAATATGGCCACTAATCTAGGAGCTTCACTATCACTGTGCACTTCTTATAGATGCTAGTTGTAGTTGACAGAAAGCCCTGCACTTAGTTTCCATGCTATCCGGCATTCAGTTGAACTTTGCGAAATTCCAATCTAAATCATCCAATGTTTCAGATAGTGACATTAGCACTGGGGTATTTTGGCCACAGTACTGTTGGTTTTGGAAAATCAGTTCATTGTAGCTTTTGAACCGTGCTAGAACGTAACAACCTATCTTTGAAAAAGATTCGTAAACATCTTTTTGTGACGAGTTAGGTCGAATCGAATGGCTGTTGGTAGTGGCGTTCAAAAACGATGAACCAGTCAACTGGTTGACCGATGTAATAATTTTAATTTTTGTTTTTACGTTGCTTTGCACTAACTGATTCTTGCAAGCAGAAACAAGTACCAACAAACACAAAAGCTAGTTCCAAAGCTTCCTGTCGATTGACCGTAGTTAACTAGAATGTTTTCTTTATTTGATTGTGTCTGCTTGGAAGGATCAGTCAGTTCAAAGCAACGAAAAAACGGAAATTAGAACTAATACATCGGTCAATCAATTGTCTCATTCATCGTAGTTGACTGTCACTATTCGCAATAAATCAATTTAACTTTACCGGTCGCAACAAGTTGTGTACGCAACTTTCCAGAGATAGGTTGTCACTTTTTGGTACAACTCATCAGTTACGGTGGATTGACTCCTAAAAGCCAACAAGGTTTCTATGACTTCCTATAAAATATAAATGCATATGTGTTTATGATTAGACTTTAGTATTTTCTCATCGAAAATCAAAGCCAACACAAAGCAAACCCTAATAAATAATTTCTACGTATAACGACGATTTTGTATTGGCTGCCAAGACCTTTCCTCTTAGCTTCATTGTTTTTATTGATATCTTGTTGAGATCACACTTAATGGCTTTAAAAACTTCCAATATGTGGGAATTGCTGAGACAAACTAAGAGATTTGTAAACAACCTAAAAATTTCTTTCCTAGTTTATTGCAGTTTTTCGGTTAGCAACCTATTAACCAGTGTATAATAACCTTTATAATTTATTATTCTTAGCTGGTGTAGTCCTTCAAAACAACTAATGGTTATCTGTAGGCAAAGAAAGTGGTTGTCAAACGTTAAAATCACATGGATATAGTTTAAGATAGACCTAAGAGTAGTAAGGTTGATAAGAAAGAACGATCCGTAGCATATTCAGAACCTTTTAGGTTACATTATTTCATTAAGGATCTTCCTGTTTCCCTGTTTCATGTCAATAAATGTTACAAATCACACATACTTTCGTCTAAGTGACAAATCTCAAGAATCAATTGTATTTCATTTCTATCTCACTTTAGAGGGAATACAGTTAATATTCGCCAGTTAGACAGCTTTCCTTATTATCACTTACATTTTGAGAGTAATACTACTCATATGAAACACCTACATAAGCTTCTGTCTCTCTTACTCCAGACATTAATTTGGGATACTGGATGATGATTGAAGATGAAATAGAAATTCCGGCAGTGGTAGGATTAGATTTACCAACCATCAGGTTTCTGGCCAGGTACTCCACAAACTGAGCTACAAGACCTGACTACTGGCCAGATTTTTGTTTCACTTCACTCACTAAAGGTTTTGCCCCACTATCATCCGAATTCCTGATACCATTATGCCATAAAGTGGACACTCTTTGGTTAATTTGGCCAAAACAATAACAGAAACTTTTAGGTACAGTGACCAGAACCAGTTCCTGAACCCTAGACAAACAACTAAGCATTCAAGCGTATTTCTGTTACAAGAGCTGTGTGATGAGTTACATGTTATAAATAAAAAAGAAAAGGACTAGGAAACTAAAGAACCGAACAAATTGTATTATCGAAAGAATAATTACGAACCTTGCTTTATTGCCAACATCGATAAGTTCATTGATCTGGTCAAAAGAAATTACAGCACATTTTGATAAATCTTCAACATATGGTCCAAGAATAGGATGTTCTCTCACACGTAAATTTCCTTTACTCTTTGGATCCAGTAAGTCCCTTACACGTTCACAATAGATTTCAATATATGAAACCTGAAATGAAGATAAAAGTAAAACAAGTCACAACGATAATATCCTACTATTTTGAAGGTTTTCTGATTGGTGTTATTTTTTACTGCAATATAAGATTCACGCTCAGTAATGTGATATATACTCAATTGTACGATTATGTACAGTCAAAATTCACTCTCAACGTTTACACATACCCCTAACACCTTATTGAGCATAAAGTCACATAAGTTGTGTTAGTTTTCAGAACTTGAAGTAGTTGGAGTATTCAACCGTCAGAAAGATGATGTTGATGATGATGCTGGATAGTTAACGGAGACTGACGAAAATCTCTCGATCTAGTTTTCACGCTTATTGAGACTTTTCAGCAACATTTGCTCTAAGTAAAGTTGAATGAAGTTCCCAACTCATTTCCATCCTAAAGATTCTGATTAATACTAGTTCGGTAATTTCACTTATCACAGGTGCCATTGAAACCAAGAGTCTTTATATTTAATGAACTCAGGATTAACAAAGCTCATTGAATAAAGGAGGAACTTCAAGACTTTTTGTAGGCAACTACAACAACTGACTAGGTTATTTTAAATTAATGTGAATAGTAAGTGATATTCGCAAAGTAGGATTTGTGTGCCTACATGAGTTGATCACTTGACAAGTTTTGATTATATTAGTTCCACTTGTTAAATAATTACACAAATAATTTTTAATCAAGGAGTGTTAAAAAATAGAAGTAAAATCCAGAAGACACCTTTCTTACTATCGGGAACATGTCAACTGTTGCAGTTGGATAACAAGCAGTGGATATATTCCTCTGAGACTCGAATTCATAAAACATCAATTGAAAAACCAGAACGTTTACCAATGAGTACCGACTTATGATGGATACTCCTTGTGCTCTTATTTAATTTTGTTTTGTTTTATAATTACCAGATACGACGTAGCTATATATTAGTGACCATAAAGTAGTTTGGCCACATATTTTCATTTCTAAAGTCAGTTCATTTTTTCTTTTTGTTATAACCCCGTCGCCTCTTGTTATACCCACACTGATACTACTTGATTTAGCCTTATATATATATATATATATATATATATATATATATATAATTACTTCTTTAGGTTCCTAGTCAAATACAGGGCTTAAGTAGTACGCCACCATCGCACCCTCTTCTCTGAAGCCTTTTGAACCTGGCTACACTACTTCCCACAAATTTTCATTTCTTCCTCACACCATCTCCTCCATATCACCCTCGCCTCGGACGCTCAACTTGTCGTTTCCCATTTGGGTTAAACTCGAGGGTCTTGCCTGACGTGTAATGTCCCCAAACGGTCTTCTCAGTATATCTCCAATCCAATCCAGTCCATCTCCACTTTCTTCTACATATTTGTTTGCCGATAGGTTGTTGGTATATAAATAACTTCGGATCCCACGCTTGATGTTCGCTCAAATCCCCGGAAAATGGCGGTAAGATAACAGAAGGTGTATTGCAACGTCAAAACATCCATAAAATACAAGGGTTTATGTATATTTACAACAGGTTTTGGCTATTTCCAGGCTTTTCTGGATTTGAATCTTATTGATTTTTCATCTCTTCAACCAATCTGAGATTTACACGTTGATTTAAGTGCTTTATCTTGAAACCACGGTGTAACACTATTTGTTGTGTCAAGCTTCAGGGTTTAAGGCTTTAATGAAGATCATGGTAATCTTATTCCAAACTATAACACTCATATCAGAAAGGTTGACTGAATCCGCAAACATAAGTCACTTATCTTGTCATTTTACTTTAAGTGGCAGCTACTTTCACAATTCCGCTCTCTGTTAGGATTGAACGTCTTCCCCTCCCACAGGATTAAACTGATGATTCCAACTTCTGATAGGACTCAGATTTCAAAAAGCAGTTCAAATAAATCTGATTGTCTAGGTGTTTGAACAGTTCAGTATTCAAACATTGTATGCAGTCTCCTTTGGGTTCATGTATAACCCTAGTTGAATAACTCTGAAACTATCACGGATTGTGATACATATACATACTAAGTTGCTCCTTTCTTTACGGAGAGTTAAGGATCAAAATTGTTTTATCACATAATAGGCACAGCACTGCCTCTACAAAATTTTAATTTCCCGTCTCTTTTGTTTAAATTTGCCATTGGCAAACTGAATACCATTTGTTGATTATAAAAATCTAAAGACCTATGTTTTCCACTTATTATGGACACAATAAAGTTAATAGACGTGACTAATTTACTGGTCAACAACAATTGTTGAGATAACCAGTTACAGTTCTCTACCATGCAGAAACCTGACTGGTTATTTCAGAATTTACTAGGGTGACCTTAAAAATCACTCCCAATTCAGTAAAACAATACTGTGAACATTGTTGACAGGTATACTAATTCTTCATTGCTTTATACAAAATTTATCTGTTTATAGACTGAATTCTCAAAAAAAAATTTCAAGACCACTGATGTTTCTCAGTGTTCATTTCTCTTGCAAAGAAGGGATGGTGGAAATATCAAGGTTAACGACTGATTTGTTGTCTCCGTATGTTTGCAATTCTATGTTCATAATAATAGCTGTTTCAATGAGATTAGCACTAATTATTTATTAATATATCAGTATTAGTGTGTCCTTACGGCACTATGAAATCAATGAATTTAGTCTTTAAAAATGTATCGTACATTTTATAAACATCAAAACTCGAATTAGAATAATTGTTTACTTGAAATTTGATCCTTCAGCAATAAATAAGAATAAAGAAATAAAAATTAGTTTAGAGTTTAGGTAAAGAGTAGAATGTAATGAAAGTTTTGAATATGCATGAATAACTTAGATCGTTTTGCAGTGATATGCATATTGCTGATCGACTGATCGGTAAATAAAACTTATCATTATAGAACTATCAAGCATTTATCAGTAAAAGTGTGACCAAGGTATTTCTCATAATTTGTAAACAGCTTTCAACACGTTTTATTCGTTTTTACAGTTTTCCTTCCCCACCAAAAATATCTAGGTTTGACATGCGAAATGCACTCAGCATTCTTGGACATATTCGTGCAGCAGGTAATGAGCCACATCTACTGAATGGATGACTAGTGATACAACCTGGTTGTACAAACCTCGTTAGGTGGTACAGGACTCAAACCATCACCCTAAACCATTGAATTACAGCTCCCTACCAAAGAAAGTAACTCGAAGCACCAAAAGTAGAATATCTAATAAATACGCAAGATGTCCATCTAAATGAGTAACTAAGCAAACAGTTACCACCTAACAATAGTGAGACAACAAGACAATAATTTAACAGAAAGGTCAATTTGGTACGTTATTCACAATATTTACTTGGACTCTGCTTCAATCTTTAGTGAATGTTCAATACTGCATTAATATGTCTAAACACCCCCAAAGGTTTCAAAAAGATACCATAAAACACAATGTTCATTTTTTGTTCTTACTCCCTCGAAAGGAGTTATGTGAACAGGTTTTAAGACATTTTACATTTTTACTACTTTTACAAGAAAACAAGTAGCATACACAGGGGATAGAAAAAAACGGCATTCTAATAATGAGTTTAGAAAAAGCACCATGGTATTGTAAGCTACAAAACAAGAATACAAAGAAATATGCCTGACTAGTTAGCTGTCTGATAATCAACAAAAACTGTGTAACGTTTTCCATGACAAACAAACATGGTGAATTTCCAAATGTACTGCATCTTTTCAAAGCTAATCACCATAAAATTTCCTGAAAATTGCGCTTTTAAAAAAGACTAATAAAGGAGCGACTATAAGGTGCAAACTAACAATAACTGAAACAACCAATTAGATTTTGATTTTCCACATAAATCTGAGTTTTTCCTTAAATAAAGAAACCTAGTAACTGATAGTTTTATTACCGAAATTACTTCTTTTTCATCACATGAAGGAAACTCTAAGAATAGCTGACCCAAAACACAAAATCAAAACTGTAAGAAAGTAAAAATCGTCGTTTTTCCAAATTGCAATACAACGATTTAGTATTTGATGAGGCGGTAGAATTATCATTTCCTAATCTTATGCACAAAGAATATTTCCTTGGTAATCTGACAGTGACGAGGCTGGGTGTACTAATAAGGTTTAATCCTGCAATTTCTAAGAAATACTTCATAAATATTTAGTAATAATCGCTCACTGTAAAGTGTAACTAACAGTAGTCGAGTGCAGCAGTAAAATTATTCATATCTAAGCTTGTGAATTCCGGCATATTTTCATTAGTCCAGGCAATAAAATTAAACTATACCTGTCACAAAAATATTAATTATGTGTTAACAAACAGACCACTGAAGGTATTACGTCGGTTAATATGATCCATATCTCAACACATTCTTTCATTATATCAAAGACTGGCTATTTTCCTTTTCCAGTCTTAACACATGTAGAGTAACTAAAAGTTTTACTATGATTGGCTGAAATTTTATTCATCTTTGATACCAAAACGCGGAGTGAACCGAATTCATTCTGCCATGCCGCACACATGTAAAGATCTCTAGAATAACGCTTATTTCTGTCTTTTGGGAATAAGATTGGACAGAATAAAAGTTATGTAAATAATAACTAGCTAAAAGCTGTTTCATACATAAAATTACCTCAACAATGTTTTGTGTCATTTGATTAGGCGTTGTATTGTTCAATCTTTTAAATAGATCACGACATAATCGTGGTATAATACCCTCTTGACCTTCAACACCTGGCTTTCCCATCATTGTATAAGATTTCCCAGATCCTGTCTGACCATAGGCAAATATGCATACATTATATCCTTCAAGTGCATGATTTAGAGCTTCAGCACCAATATCATTGTAAACCTGCTTTTGATCAGCATACAATGGATCTGATTTCTAAAACAGAAATAACTAAATTTTACAGATATTCATTTGCGAAATATGATCAACCATTTTTTTCGCCATTAATTTAAAGGTCAAATCTTTAGAACAATTAAAGACAGGTGTACAACACAGTGCTCATTGATATTCTGTTCTTAAAACAAACCAGTCCTGAAAGATTCATTGAAGCTGCCAGTTAACTTAGAACATTTTGTCTTACCTTTTTAAAAACGGGACTACAACTCAATATTAAACAAAGTACTGTCAGAAGGTTACAGTGATTTAAAAAATCCCTAAATCAGAAACTTTTCTTTATTCTAGATAATTTTTATTCATCATGATTATGAACTTCATCTTTTTTTGAAAAAAATCCGCGTGCATACTAAAATTCGCCTTGATAGTATGAACCAATTACTTATCAGTTTGTGCTCACTGTTCCTGTTTTCCTTTCCGACAATCAACTATTTTCGATGGTGAATTTGTATAGCTTGACCTAATGGTTATGAGATGCTCAAATTAGTTTCATGTTTCATTTTCATCACTCACTGACTAATTTTTTCATATTTGTTATTTAAGTTCCAAAATCTCCAAACGATTTGAATACTATGACAAGATTTACGTATATCTTCCCACTAAAGTTAGTATATATAACAAATTAGTACAAGAAATTTCCCACTTTCAGTGAATGATCATTATTAAACTATATATAGCATGTTTAACTTGTTTTATAACTATAACAAAAAAACAGACCAAAATAAAAACCTTATTTGAAAAAAAGACTGGCACGCTGTCTCACTTATGTAAGCTGATATAAGATTTCAATTATCGCTTCAGTTAATAATCAATTTATGCTTTATAAAAAGTGAAATATTGCTTTTGGATATTCCTATATACAACTGGATTAAGAATGATGAAATATTTAGAAAACAGCTAACCTGTCATTAGTAAGAACATTTGAATGTGTTTGATGCCATGTAATATGTGACTTTTACTGACCAGACTACTTAAATAAAATATAATTTTATTCAATTCACTATACCTTACTCAATAAAACCTATTATTTAAGCATTCGTTCTATTAATAAAAAGCGTAATAATAGCGAACAGTTAAAAAAGGGAGGTGAATGTTGACTGTGCTAAAGGTGAGAAAAGGAAACCTTCCACTGTTTTTCTTCATTCTAGTTGAACTGTTCTAGATAATCTCACTTTACGGAGAGGTCTTAGGTCATGATAATCAGGAAATAACATTGAACGATGAAGTGAGCAACTCCAGAATTTACCCTTAGTGGTTTTAAAATTGTTTTCTTCTTTTCCATCTAGTTCGACAATACATACCACTGTGAAAAGCTATCCAACAGCACTTCTCAATCTCATCTCTTAGTGAATGTTAAACTTTTTACGAGTTAAGTTGTGACTTGAGATATAAGTCAGTCATGAATAATAAGAGTTTATATAGACTTTAGTGAACAAATTTGTTTTTGGTGAATTCCTCTTCTACAGCTGTAACATCACATTTAAATATGCTGCACATGAAAGATATCGGTATTCGCAAATTAATAACTGTTAGTAATTTTTGGCTATGAAAATAGTATAGGAATGGAAATTACATGAAACATGCACTAGAAAGAAGTGAATAGGAACAGGGAATCGTAAAATCAGTTCTGGAGACACACGCATCCTCACATCCTTTGGAAGATTTCGTTGCACTTTTGCAGACATGTGTAAAAAAGTCTTTTCTTATAGTATCCACTACCAAACAAATGTTGTCATATGGAGCTATTAGTCAATATGCATTGATTTTTACTGAGCTATTCCGGAAGGTGTTGGGATTGACGTTGAACAATCTGCCTCTTTGTACGGCCTATATACTTAGCTCCATAAGAACAGGCGAATTGATATATGCACACTGAAGTATCTAGCAGTGACAGTTTATTCTTCTCGGAACTTTTCACCATTGGCCGACTAGTATAAATGATTTGCAGATTTGCTGCATGAAATGTTCTTTTGATAGCCTTCATTTGTCTGCCTTCAAGTGCCCCATCTACAGCATTTTCATTGAATCTCAAGCTCAAAATTAGCTTTTTATTCTCCATACTATTAGGAGGCTAATGGATACTATTCTGATCTAGATTTTTATCTATGAATCTTTGTAGGTACCCATATGTGATGAACGTCGATCTTAAAAGTTAAATTTCAACTTCAAAAGTGTTTTGAGTACAAATCTCAGCTGTCTAAGGGAATGGATTATATTTCTTTTTCGGCCAATGGAACCCAGCTACAAACTTTTGTCACTTATCTGTTCCATGGAGATTTCCGATAAATGAAGATTTTAAGCTTCTCATCACCTCTTCTTGCTAGCAATATATCAAGGAACGGTATCTTCAAGGGATTTCATTTCTACTATAAAGTTGATGAAGGGAAGACAATCATTGGAAAATTGAAGTAATTTCTTCAAGTCGTAATTTTTGTCACACACAATGAATGTATCATAAAAATATCTTCTGCAGAATATGAACTGCCTAATAATTGAATTGAGTATGGCTGTTTCTAGTTTGGCTATAAATATATTTAAATGCCATTATAGAAGTGCAGAAGATGAAATCACCCAAAACAAATTTACTCTCGGAAGTTTTTATTTCTTTATGACTCAGTAGAAATATTTAGACAGTAATGTAAACAACACACCTCTTATTCTATCTACTCCCTGGTTGATATTCTTGAAAAAGACTGTAGATGTATTGTCATATTTACTTAGCAAATTGATTATTCTTTGAAGTCACGATGAATATTTCATCCGACAGTCCATAAAATGATGATACTGACTGGCGAAGAATAGTATTTCTCACAGGAAATTGACTGATTTTAGACTCAGTAGTCAGAAATCTTTTTCTTGAAATAGATTTTTTTCCGTTTTATGTTTATCTGTAACTAAACAATCCCACAGCTGAATAAAATACTTTCAAATAATGTAACTGCTGATTTTCTGTGGTGATAAACTAAAAAACTCTCATTTCTTTTATCTAAATGTAAAAAAGTTGACTGTATTATTCATGGTGCGTATCGAGAGAGAACATGAATGATTCTAAGCACCTTTAAGGTCAATGAAAATGACATATATTGATCAGGGGCAAAAAGATCATCGAATCAAATGAAGCACTCAAGACTAACGCACAATTACTAATTGTTTCTCCAAGATGAATATAAAAATTTCAATTACTCTTTCTTTGTTACTTATTTATGCAGCTAACTTCATTTTGTTTTATATATTTAGTTGAATTACCAAATCACTGATGGTACATGAAATCGATGAACGAATAACTTGATATTGCCTTGAGTTTGATTATAAGAAGCTGGTACGGGTAGTTTGTGATTTCGTAAAAGAATGAAACAAACGCCTAACATAAGTTCTACTGTTAACCAATATCAAGGGGATAACAATGGAACAAACCTCAATGTAGTGTGTAGTATGTAGTGAAGAGATCTCATATTAATACGCATCGACTTGTTCCATCTTTCCAAACAAACAACAGAACTTCATGTGTAAGAATATATGACGAATGACACTGAGTGTACAATAGACAGCCGTTGTAATTTATTGACCTTGTTGACAGTGATGTAGTTTTTGAAGCAATTTATGTCGAGATACAGTGTCACTAAGAACATCACAATCCTAGGATACTGGCACGTGCATCTGTTGACTCTCAGCAATGACGAAAAGTATTTCCCATACTCTAACAACAGTCGAAGGGTAATTATTACTCTGCATTTTAACGGACCACTTTATGGGTGTTATACTGAAAATAAATTGTTTATCAAAGTCCTGAAAGCAGCGTAACTATTACCGTTCCCAATTTCGGTAGACAACTTCATAAATAATATCAGCTTTCATTAACTTACATCTGTATGTGACCAATAACTGTAATCGAATTCGAATACTTTGACCGGTTCTTTTGAGTTTGGTTTCTTGATACCTATTAGATGAAATTAAATGTTGAAACGTTACCAAAACATTGTGATACAAATCTTTAATAGTGATTCATAGTCACTGATAACATGAAGACTATTTAGCTGAACAAATAGTTCAGTCAATGACACAAGTGCAAAAACGCTTTTCTTGATCTGCTAAATTTAAAACTCTAGACGTAGATTGAAATTTGATGCAAAATGAAGTCAACGAAGTTTGAATATTAGTCTCTGGATGTCATTCATATCAGCAAACTCATCAAAACCCTATGTTCATTTTATCCAAAATGTCGTAACATTAAAATTGGCCGCTGTGATAACCATCTTTTGAGAATAGCTCCTAAGTGTTCACTAAAATAGACTCAATATCAATATGTTGTGCAAACTAATTTCCTTTATATAAACTATGATCAAGATTTGATCGTATAGTATGGCAAATATTCGACTCTGAGTAAAAGGTTGACATTAGATATAGAATTGTATTTGCGTAAATCACACCGGTTTGAAATCAAATAATTCAAACGTTTCGCACGGAAGTCTGGTTCGAGCTTCCTCAGGGAAATAATCAAAATTAAAATATCAAGGATGTTTATAAATGAATTCAAAAAACGTTTATTTAATCTCCTTGTCCCAAACCTCTTCGTATAGTCATTGTCTTACAAAATTATGATAACTAATCATTCAGTGTAAAATTGTGTTTTTTATTGTATCACTTGAATAATTCATTGGGAATACCAAGATTTTTGAAATTATTCAGCTATCAGATGTTAAATCATTTAAATAAGTGTCTTTCTTAACTTTGTTTATTTTCATCCTACACAAATCCAATACCGAAATTCTTTTTTAAAATCTAATTAATTTGAAGCTGATATAGAATTTGATTCCTATAATTAGAATATTATTACACGTTTTTGGACTTTTTTCCTGTCAGTTAAAATAACCTGAAAAGTGATAGTGTGACCTATTAAATATAAGTAATATCTGCTGGTAGCCTGCTTAAGCATTAGTCTACCAAACATTTTACACCGAATTTATTTTCTCGAATTCTTCCCTTTCGACTTTTCATATCTTTTAATTAGGTCTTTCAAACATATCATGTATTTTCCCATGTTTTTAAAAGGTTTTCAAGTCAGCAGAAAAATCAAAAAAAAAGCATTATGCGAGTAAGAACTGGACTTATAAACGCACGAAAATGCAGTGTACTGCTATGTGTAGGCTACTTATATCGAACTTCAGATTCTCATACTGGCTGAATAAACTGCCAACACCAAAATTTCGCTTTAATTTCTATTCACTTACCACTTCAAACCATAAGAAACTGTGCAATAATTATTTCGTTTAAAAATATTATAGAGGGAATTAGTTTACTCCAGTATTAAATGCTGAGGATTCTGCACTGTATCATACGTTGTCTGGAACAAAGCGATTACAATTAATAAAAAAATATCGATTATTATTAGCTCACAAGTATCTAACTAGATTGATTTTTATGTATCTTCAGAAAATTATACATAAACTGAATAATTATGTAACCGCTCAGCACCCCGGGGACAAATCCCAGTGAACACTGTTTGTATGAATGCATGCTAACTCGTCTGTACACTATATGAGGGCTTCTTGAAATAGTTGAAATTAACTCTGTGAAGTGTGCCAATTATAAAAACAGGTTTCAATACTTTCTGAAATGTAACTCATAAACTTAGTGCTTATTATTAAGTTATAAGGACTATTGTAGAGTAGAAATACCTGCAAATTTGAAGTTTACTATCAATACAATACTAATCTGTGGATTCAAGTTCGTTGACTGAGGGTTTACATATCACCCACGAGAGTGGACGACACTGGGCTCTATCTTCTGTGGATGATATGAGTATGTAGTGAAGCGAAATCACAAATTAGGACAAAACAGTCATTTGGTGATCCCAGATCTCCAAAGATTCTACAACTGATTTTGGTTCTCAATGAAAACAATCCGGAAATCAATTAATTCTCCAACCTAGTAAATGAATATTTCAGTTCATTAAATTCTGTCTGTATTAGAGCTAATTTTAACTTTCACAGAAACCTAGAAATAGTAACCATAGAAATTTACCTCAAAAACAATTCACTTATTGGAAGTTCTGACATGTGCACTGAAGAAAGGAAAATTATCAATTACCTGATAAAATATCATTTAGATGTGAATGAGTTATATTCTCGTCACCACTAGATACAACCTCAGTTATATATATATATATATATATATATATATATAATTCAACGGATTATATATAACTGCAATAGCCTTGACTATTTCTAGGCCTTTCTGGTATAGAATCTTCGATTGACTTTTGTATTTTGAACCAATCTGGTTTCTGTACGTTGGTTCATGTGCTTTTACCTGAAACTTCAGTGCAAAATGATTAGTTGTAAAAGGCTTCATAGATTTACAGCTACTTATTAGGATCTTGCCAACCTTATCGCACGCTACAACGGAAAGTTAACATACGTTCAGTAGTTAAATTATATCAAATAGGTTATATGACTCAACCCTCTCTTATCGACCAAGAACATATCTTTTTTACGGCATAATTAAATCTCACCACTTCTGTTTTTCATCACAGAAGATACAGATATGTAAGGAGATTCTGGTTAATTTCTGTTTTCATATTCGTCTCACTGATTTTAGCTAGAAAACTTTGGGAAGTGTGTGGACTACCTGTGTAGTGGAAGAGATGCGAATGCATATCGATTACCGAAAGGTCACCATGAGATAATTTTCTTGGAATGAAATCCATAACTAGTAGCAGTCAGCTGATTACACGACCAGTAAGTCTGGTGATCGGTTTTTTGAGTTTCGATGTAACAAGGATATTCGTATAGCCTCTCAACCAAACATCATCTCAAACATTTCGTGTTTTAAAGCTTCTTAATGGGCCCTCTGTGGATCATTTGAGTGCGTTCGTTGTATTCAGCTATGAACACGCTAACATGGGCATACCTAGATCACATAATGATCTCAGCCGTTCACTAATTATTGGAAAGATTTTAATTCACATATCTGATGAGTAATTCATTGATTCTATGATACGTCATAACATGCGCCTAAACCAATGAGAGAACCACAGCAAATATGATGTCATTATACACGTAGTCCTTTCTAGGTTGTTTTTTGAGTGGTACAACCAAGATTCTGTATAAAATCCATAGTGACACCACAGGAACTCAAGACTATCTGTCCACTTTAAGATCTCACTGAACTAGGAATATATGCACAACTTGGTTACACCATAGTGGCTGAATGAAAGTATGCTCATAAAATGATCTAACGATTTAGAGATCTATTTTATGCAGATCATGTACATAACCTAGTTAATTTAAAACTATCTTTTCTTATCTGCTCTACCTTTGATTCCCATTTAATTTATTGATTTAATCCCCACACAGATCATACGCGCAACAGTTTTTGATTGACCTTGAGTTTTAGAACAAAAAGAAATTAGTAATTTGCATCTTACAGGCAATAAAATGCACATCGACCTATCTCAGTAAGCAATGAGAATTCCATTGAGAGTAGTAAATAAGACCCTACACTAAATTGGTAGTTCATGATGAAATTTCTTTCCTCACAGTCAGACACTTGGTTTAATAACAGTGAACAAACATTTTATCCAAATTTCAAAAGTAGCCGTACACCATGCGGAATGAATAATTAGTACTTCCGTCCTGAATAATGCATTCAACTTTTAAAGAGAATTTAGTAATTGACACAAATTCAGTAATTTTTATCTTATAATGCAGGTTTACTAAACAGAGCGATTCATCTAATCGTTCTTGGCTCATCATACCATTGATATTTTTACATTTCTTTAGAGAAGAGAGTTAATTATTTAGGCGCCAGTGGAAACGAGTAGGAAAGTGATATATTGGTTTTAATCAGTGGCTTAGTGGGAAACGCTTTGGCATTTGGAGTGATTGATTCTGGGTTCAAGTCTAGTGAGAACAACATCACTCACTGAGAGGGAGGGTTATCCAACTGATGAGTCTTAAACAGGGAGAAACGCGCGTCCTGGATTACACTGCTAGCCGCGCTCCATCATTATCATCAAAACTGAAAATGCCAGTAATATTGGGGTATCCGCACAGGAGACCCTGGGTCAATAGTGGCCGATCAATTCGATTGAATCAACGATAAAGATTACAAGGTATAATGTCAAAGAATAAACTGATATTTTGTTGAATGTATAACCAGTGATTAGAGTTAATATGGAAACATCGAATGAAGTAAGTTCCTCGTTACGCTGATTTTGAGGCTAAGTATTTTTATTACTAATACTTTCAAAAGTAGAGCATGGTATTTTCTTCATCATATGATCCTTTGTTGACCAAATTTCAAAGTGAATTTGTAGATAACTGTCCGGTATTCAAACTGAGAGGTATCAGATCCCAGTATAAATGGAAACATCAGTTCGGATGCAGGTATGTGAAGCTACTTGGCTCCAAACAGAATGAAGTACACTTTGTGATATCTACTACCAGTCGAAATCGTATTATACAAATAAAGGTCATCGTACAATGCGACAACAGCAAGAAGAATGTACTATATCCTCATGAGATTTTTCATAACCTGAGAAACTTAACATTCAAAGCTTTAATAAACTGTAGGATTGTTTTCAAACTAGCAAAGAACATCTATATGAGGAAAAGAAAATTTAAGTGAGGAAAATAGAAGAGTAAGATAGATCTGCATGTTAGTGACAGCACTTAAACAGAAAAGTTGCACTTATGATTCGGATTATGGGAAGAGTATCTGGCAGTTAAATGAAACTTAGGTCACCTTCGTCCCTTTATGCAACCGAAATTGTATCTGTCATGAGAACATATAGCGGAACACTAAACACTGATTAAAGACATTCAGAAGTTGCCAAATGTGGTATGTTTCTAACATTCACATATAAACTGTGATCCGAATTGCAGGCTAAATTCGATTTATGTCAAACCTATACCACAGTCAAAAGGAGTCAATACAATTACTATGTACAGGAAAAGGGACGGACTTGATTTTAAATCAACTATCTGGTTAATGATGGTGATGATGAGCACTTGGATTTTTCAGCTAGTCAACACTATAGAAATTGAAGTACGTAACAACAAAATAAACACATTCATCCTCAAACCAATGATATTGTAGATCCAAAAGTGTTTTCTCCTCTATAAAGTACTGGTGAAACCATTTATTTTGTTTTAGAGATCTACAATTCAATAAGTTTGAGAACACAAAAGTACCATCATTTTAATTTCGAACAGTATTTCTCTTTGATAGATTAAGGTAGGTCGAATCTCTGAAACCATACGAATATCCTATATTGTTCAAGTAAAAAACAATAACTTTTGGAGTATGATGTAATGGCAAAATAGATATATAGGAATTTAGGGAAGGGTTGTACACATATCAACAAAGCTTAGCAACTAGCAACACATTTAAGGAAAATTTATGTATACTGCCTGGTATTTTTTAAGTTACCCAACAACTAAGTTAGCATTATATCAGCATATTAAAATAGCGTGCAAAGTGAGACTACTGATTAGACTAGACTTATTACCACTAACCTGTTTGGTTGAGACTGGTATAGTTGCTCTTGGTTAGACTTAATTTATTTCTACCATGGTATCTGTTAAGCTACACATAAAAAGCATTTATCATAAGTGTTTTAATGATTGTAGTATAAAATCTTGGATGTAACTGGTTGTTACCCTAGTCTTACCATCAATGAATACAGTACGATCTCGATTAACTGTCATTCCGGTGTGATATGTGATCTCATAGTTGCTCCGCATATCACTTTGGCTGTGAAAAATCAGTTAGCAATGAGTGGAACTTTTCTACAAAGGAGATATACAGAGTCTACAACGTCTTAATGTGTTTTTTGAGTTTTAGATTAATCACTAGTCAATAAGCATAATGAAATAAGTTCGGTATATTATTAACTAGGAATTACATGTAACAATCGCAAAGAAGATAGTCAATCAGTATATGCGCATATACCCCTACAATAACTGAGATATAAAATTTGCTTGAAGATGTGTTCCTGTTAAATGTTTGATTTTTGCTGATTAACTTCAGATATTTTACGGTTGGCATCTTTGTGAGCGCTTATACCTCCTTTTTCATATTTGAGTAGATGCTCCAATGAAGCAGTGAAAGTTCACATGACGCAGTCACTGACAGTGTATGTAGCACCATGCAATTCACATAAACCTAATGGGTCTAAAACTCTTATTTTCTTTTCAGTAACCCTTTAAGTGGTTGTTCCCGATGATGATTTCGAATGAACTCAGTGACTTCTATCAATAATGGATCATGAGCTAATCATCATGATTATATTTAGACAACTGTCTTTGAGTTTTTGAAACAAATCCTTTCATGTTTATATATGTTATCTTAGTGAAGCTATTGCAATCAGCTCTTTACTTTGCAGTGGAATTCACTGAAAAGAAACTGTTAAAGCAATATTATTTTTAACTCATTATTTTGTAAAATCCGAAGAAACTGAACAACAGAAGTATTTCTAGTTTCAAGTAAAATGCGGTTATATTCTTTAAAATAATAAACGTTATGTTAATATTTTACAATTCGTAACCTTTACAATATTCTAAATCACTCAGCTTTTAACAGTTTACTATTTATATACTATCTTCAATGTAACTTAGACCGTTCGGTAGTTGAACGATGGACAGAAGTTCGCGAATATAACTCACAAGCTTCCACTGACTGGAAACCACTCAGGAAAACCACTAACTGCAGTTACCTCGTTATGCTCAGGAAAAAAATGAAACGAGATTACTTAACATGAACTAGAGAAATCGGGAAATTAGTTCGAAATAAAGACGCATATTTATAGGAATTCAGTATAATGCAGAATACCATGCAACACAAGATTAGTCAAAGAGGTGCATAGGCTCATCTGATCGCGGAAATTCAGAAGCGAATTAAAAGGCCCCGCTGCAACTACCTGAATAAATGATCAGGTTTCCCTGTTTTACAAAAACTAAGTTGAACTAAACTTTACTGACGGGATGCTATATTCAAGGTTATTTTTTTACGTCCCTTTTACTACTTTATTGACGCTCCATAAGCTGTTGATGCATTTCAACGAAATTAAGTTGTCGGTTATTTGCAGAAAGTTAGATTGCTTACGAGAAGTCTAAATTTGAATATGGTTTGTGATAGATTGTATTCCTAACAGTCAAAAGAGATGATTTCATCTTTCTTTGTTCCTGCTGTTACAAGAATAACCTATTGAGAGAAGAGAGTTTTCAAAATGATTTCATCTAACTTTCCAACAAACAGTTAATTTGACGCTACACTGAATTGACGGAACACCTGTAATATCACCATGAGCTCTGACAGATGTTAAAGAAGTCACTTCGGTTAAAGTCGTATATGCTGTTTCTGAAATGGGTTACCCCCATCAAGTCATTGTTTACAAAAAGCACTTTGTCGATCCCAAAACTGGGATCTACACAAACAACGTTGGAAATATGCAGGGGTTGTCTTCGAAAATCTTTACAACCTTCAACAGGATCACTTAGGAATATGATATGATCACATACGGATAAGAGACAATGCGGACAACGGTATGGTTTCAAAGATTATAAACCTAATGAAAATTTAGATATCTCCATTTCTCATGTGAAACAGATTTATAAATTGTAAATAAATCACCATTTTGTTTTCGCTTTACGTCGTCCTTCACATCCTCAATTCTAATTGGTCAGTGTCAACTCGAAACTGACTGGTCATCGCTAAAGTTGAGCTGAACCGAAAACCACTTTCTTAACAGAACTGGAAGAATACAATTAGTTACTTGGTTGATTGCTTTAAAGACTTTTGAAGCCACACACAGTTTGTGAGATTTTCGTGAGACAAAGTGGTTTGTTCACCAGTTCATAATGAGTGAATTTCAAGGCCATAATAGCGACAAATGAAATAATCACGTCGGTTACTTCATTTGGTATCTACAGTTACTTTTTTCATAAAACGAAGAAAAGTAAGTAGTCATTTCAGTGATTCTTTACGAATGTGAACTACTTTTCCACATCACTCGTAAGTATAAAAATTTGAGTAACTAGCATTTGTTTTGACAAGTCATTTATAAATTTAGTGTGAGTAGCCTATCGAAGACATGGTGAGTAAATCACTAAAGGAGGACGTCTCTCATGAATGCAACGCTCATTATTCATAAACTATAACAATGAAATCTGGCAGTCTTCTGGCATGAAACCTATATGAAAACAGCTTGAGACTTCATTCAACACCACATTTTTACTACCACGTGGGAATGGATACATCTTTTCATGGCACGTGACAAGTTAAGAAATAAGCTACAAAAAATGGTGAACCTTCTCTGAATGTTGTGAATTCTGTCTATATCCATCTCTACTGTGGAAATTTAATCAATCATACGGTTCATCAAACTAATGCTAGTTAGTAACGTTTTTTTCGGGAGGCAGACAATGATAGACACTCCAAGTTTAGTCGGCATACTCGTCTGAACGACTTTATTGGCAACAAGAAAACGGATTTTTGTCTCAACTGTAAACCTGACTGGCCACTTCATTAGCTGTCAGGGTGAACCTTGGAGTCAATTACCCGTCTTCTTCTCAAAATCATTTTCCATAGGTATCAATATGAAAATGAATATACTGAACAGAGCATTCCCAGGTAGCCCGATTAGTAGTTGTTTTATACACCGATCCTACAGAAATTTACAAACGATAAGAATTTAAAAAAGAAATCAGCCTACTTACTTGTTGATTTATCCGACATTGAGATCACACATTCACTATTCATCATAGTTTCTCGTCTGTTGAAGGGTCGTACGCGTACAGCAACTTTAACGGAAGACATTGTTTGAGATTACCTTTATTGTAATAAGAAAGCAAAAGAAAGGCGAAATGAATCAGTTAGTTGCTGCATTCAATGACAAATTCATTTTTAAAATGATGATTATTTAAGAAAACCTGCAGTGGAGTATAATGATAAACGGCTTGTAAGTCAATGTAAGTGTTAATTCAATGTAACACAGTATCAGTTATAGAACTTGCCAACTGTTTTTACATTTTCGTCAATGCATCACAGTAAAATTTGATCCAGTATTAATTCTAGACGTTTTAGTTCACGGAACATGTGGGTTAAACTGCAATTACACTACAACATATTGTATTCACTAAACAAACTGAAAGTTGATTTGTGGCCCCGAACTATAGCAACTCTATAACTTATTCGATTTAAATAACTAAAATTGATTTATCTGTCTTTCCTCTCTACAAATTAAGTCTCACTTGATTAAATGGGAATATTTTCTCTCGTTTTAACTCCAGCTGAAAAAATTAATTCCAATTTTTGGCTGATCTTGATAAACAAGTGTGTTAAAATTGTCAGATTTATCTAATATCAAACTTATCCTTCGATAAATGACGCAAACGCCATGCAACGGTCTAACTGTTTCGAATGTTGAACAAAATACAACTTCTGCTCAATTCACACAAAAAGCAGCAAAGTTTTTAAAAAGCCAATCGCAGTAATGAAAGAATGTTACCATATTTAGCCTGAAAATATTTTTAATGAAACAGGATTAAAAACTGTTTTATTTATTACTGGTAAAGATGTTGTTAGCTTGATACAGCTCTTGGAAGCACCTGATACAAGTAGCGATGGATGTCAATATTGAATGTTTTCGAAATATATCCACGGTATTTTCATTTACAGTCTCTACTAACGTCCTTTAGGTAAAATCTTACTAATCAGATCTGTAAATTTGTAGTCCACTCACCTTTGGAAGAGGAAGGCCGAAATCTACGCATCACATTATCAGATAGTATGGTTTACACCCAGGTTTGGATGTTTTAATTAAGAACCTGGTATACATAGTTATTTACGATATGAAATCGTTAATGGAGATAAACTGTCTTCTCTGCTGTCATTATATGATAAAAACACCTCCAACTTCATTTAGGTAAATAACCACTGAGAGAAATTAATTGTCTAACTGTGACACGAATGAAAGGTTTACAGATTAGCATACACCGTGAGGACGAATTCCAAGACATATATTTACAGCCTTTTTGTAAGGCTAGACTACAATTATTTTGTGAGTCAGCAGTTACACGCCTCTCGACACTGAGTAAAGTAGTGTATAGACAATCACAACACACACATTCAAATGTAGGACCTGAGTGTTTCTGTCTTCACAACTACATTGCAGTTTTAAATCGATTGCAAACTCTGTAATGAACAGTTTTTACGTCTAACAAAAGCCGTTTCTTATTTTGAAACCAATTTTTGTGCGCAATTAGTGAGTCAATTGTTTTGTTCCGAACTCATAACCTAGAAAACGAGTTCCTGTATCACAGCCTACTCTTTTACACCAGTTAAATTAATTTTGGTATTGATAGAAAGTAATGACTATCACGATTCGTCCTATTTGGGACTAATCGGCTGGATTTACCAGCACCACAGTGAATGATATCTTTCTCTCTAAGACTAGAACTCAGGACAAATCTCTCAAAACACTAGGGCGTTACTCAATAAGCCAATGAGTCATGAAACAACGACGAGCATAGTTTAGTTCTAGTGCTACAGCTTGCAGTGTTTTGACCTTTAGTACTTCTGTTCTTCAAGAAATCCTTCTCGAAATCAATCGATTCTCTGTAAACTGCTCTCGTAAACCGTTATCTAAGTGGCAACTTGAAAATGACTTCGTGATTGATTTCCTAAGGATTTAATAAAATTCTTCGGTTTCTGTGATAAACAAAATAAATAATTAGGATGGATGGCAAATGAAACTTTTATTTGACGATGATACTGTATCATGAACAAATTAGAATCTATAATTTTAACTGCCAGGAACCGGTGCAGCTTTAAAGGGCGCTTACTATCAGTAAAGTTACATATCCTTGGTTCAATGTTTGGTGTTGAATCGTTAGTCACAGTTTTGTGTTTCCTGACATCTACTGATTCACAACTTGATATTATTGATGATGAAACTTATCTTTGAACAGTATTATAGATCATGGGAAAGACCGATAATTGTTATCTACTCGAGTCATTATTATTTTGAAAGACTGACCAATGTTCAGTCATTTTTTTAGTTGTAAGTGGTAAACATTTACAGTGTGATCGGTGATGAAATTCGGGCTATTCAGTTACTTGAAACCCTATGAAAACACACCTGAAATAGACTAGTGTTAAGAATGTAACTCTCTTTGGACATTGAGTAGTTTAACCTCACCACTGAAAATCATTACTGGATTATTACCTACTTTTATTCTACTATTCACCAATTTTGATTTTTTCATGATCGTATACTGTTCACCTTTAAAAATAAAAGCAATACGAATTTGTCTTACATCATTGGTTGATTAATTTGATATATCGCGGAGAAAGGCTGAAATCCAATGAGAATATGGTACATTTTGAAAAATAAACAATAGAAACACTTTTTAGTTTAAGAGGATTAGTTCTCGTGGTCGAAAATCTTTCTAAGAATCAAAAATAGGCTATTTTATTCAACAACGTATCCCTTATTATTACTCAATACTTTGAAACCACATTTTTTGAATAGGATATCTATTGGTTTGCCTCTTCAGTCCGATCAATTGGACGATATGACGTCAAAATCAGTCACGTGGATAGGTTAATTCCTACTTTTCCAACTGCCTTTCACGGATGCAGTCAAAAATCAACATCTATTTCACTTATGTTTACTTCATTTGAGTGTACAAATTCATGCGTGTCAATCATAGTAGGGTTTACGTCAGATTTTCCAAAAATAATTAAAAACCCTACGCATAGGGGAATGCAATAATCCAGTAGATTTAGGAAACTAGGGGACTCCCTTAAGTACTTTAAAATAACCAACAACCAAACCAGATGGACACACTAAAAATCAAATCGACTTTATCTCAATCTCAAGAAAATGGAGACACAGTCTACTTGACACAAGGGCAAGAAGAGGAGCAGATGTAGGTTCAGACCACTTACTGTCTAGTGCAAGGAACCTTCCAAATCAAGTTAAAAGCCTTCAAGGAAGCTGGTGATAGACCACAGTTCAAGAACAACACTCGGAAACTGAAGGATGAAACTACAAAGGAAATCTTCACTTCAGTCAGCCATCAAGACAAAATGGGAGATATCGAGGAACATCCCTGAAGAAACCTGTGTGGAAGAACCCTGGAAGTCTTTGAAAGCTATGTGGAAAGAAACCTGCACAGCCGTATTAGGAAGGAAGAAGAAAGAAGGTAAAAAATGGATCTTGATTGACACATGCAAGCTGATGGAGCAGGAAGAGGAGGATGGTGAAGCAGAAGATAAACCAGTGCAAGGATGCTCAACGACATGAGGAACTGAGTACAATGTATAAAACACTGGACAAAGAAGTGAAGAAGAGTGTGTGGAAAGACAAAAGACACTTCTATGAAACACTGGCAAGTGAAGCAGAACAGGCTGCAGACTGGTAGGATAGACCTGACAACATTGTATCAAATAACCAGGTTGCTATCAGGGAAGAGACCAACACAGATGAAACCAATAAAAGATGAAGAAGGAAATTTAATTACGAAAGAAGAGAAACAGAGGAAACGATGGGCCGACCACTTCAAGAAGCTCTTGAATCCACCACCACCTGCACTTCGTCCAGAAATACCACCTGCAGCCGCTGAATTACAAGTGAACATAAATCCCCAACGAAAATGGAAGTCCTGAACGCCATAAAGCTACTGAATGTGAGAAAGCAGCAGGACCAGATGGGATACCGCCAGAAGCACTGAGAATAGACGCAGAGACAACAGCGGACATGCTCACACCACTATTGCAGAAGCTGTGGAAGGAAGAGAAGGTACCTGTCGATTGGAAGAAGGGTTACCTTGTCAAACTGCCGAAGAAAGGAGACCTCAGTGTTTGCAAGAACTGGCGAGGAATCACTCTCCTGTCCACCCCAAGCGAAATATTAAGCCGCATCATCCTGGATAGGCTTAAAGATGCACTGGATTCAAAACTACGACTGGAACAAGCAGGCTTCAGGAAGAAGAAATCATGTGCAGACCAAATTGCAACGCTTCGCATCATCATAGAACAGAGCATAGGATGGCAATCTGCTCTCTACCTCAACTTCATCGACTTTGAGAAGGCCTTTGACAGCGTCGACCGAGAAGTAATTTGGAAGCTGCTTCATTACTACGGTGTACCGCCAACCCTTCTCCGCCTCATTCAACAACTATATGAAGATGCCACATGCCAGCCAAATAATTCACAATGGGAAGCTCAGTGATGCTTTTGAAGTGAAGTGAAGACAGGAGTGAAACAAGGTTGCCTACTATCACCCATGATATTCCTGATTGTGGTGGACTGGATCATGCAGCAAACAGTGGGGAGCGAGAAGAGGGGGATACACTGGACTGCGGAAAAGAACCTAAAAGACTTGGATTTCGCCGATGACTTATGTCTGATGTCACATAAACTTGAAGATCTACAGGCAAAAACTAACAAGTTGATAGAAGAGGCAGCGAAGACGGGCTTCAAGTGAATATAGAGGGGACAGAGGTGATGAAGATACCCAACCAACATCTCCAACTACAACAACAAACTCCAATCACCATCAATGGGAGAAACTTAAAGGAAGTAACCTCCTTCACCTATCTAGGCAGCACTGTTTCAACTACAGGAGACACGGACGAGGATGTCAGAGTCAGAATCGGAAAAGCAAGACAGGTGTTCATTAGCCTGATACCAGTGTGGAGATCTTCTGCACTCCACTCAGCATGTGGAACAAGATCCAGATTTTCAACACCAACGTCAAGTCAGTACTTCTGTATGGTTCAGAGACTTGGCGCGTCACGAAAGGGATTTCC